AATTTTGTCCCCCCCCCCTCTCTCTCTCTCTCTCTCTCTTTCTCCCCCTCTCCTCTCCCCCCTTCTCTCTCCCCCTTTCTCTGTGTTTATCTCCCACTGTCTCTCTTCCTACAAATTCTGCTCACACTTCGCAACAGATGCCCACACCAACGAATTGATGCAGAAATTTAACGAGGATGTTAGAGCTGGCAGAGTTCTGTATCTCGGGGGAGTATTGGCTATAAAGCACCCAGATGGGAATTCAAAAAAAAGGTACTGCCCAATTTTAAAAAAAAAGACTTATCACCGTATTTTTTATTTTTTTTTACAGGAGACTCAAAGAGACGGCGTGGAGGGAGATGAAACGGGGTTTGGGGATGCCTTTGAGTTACTCTACTAAACCGAACTGGCTTAAATCTAGGACAGTGGGGGTGGGAGTGAGAGAGAGAGGGAGAGAGAGAGAGAGAGAGAGAGAGAGAGAGAGAGAGAGAGAGAGAGAGAGAGAGATAAAAGAGAAGGCCATGAAGCTGACAGTGCACTTGGATTTGCACCCACCAGCGGAACAATGTCGTGGCTGCCATCATGTAGGTAACGTTTTCCACTAGTTCTCTTGGTGGTCTACCTGTGCTATATCTATTGGTTAGGATTACAGGACCAGTGTTCGGATTAAGGTTTGGTGTTAGAGGTAGGGTTGGGGTTTGAGTTAGGTAATGGGAGTGCTTGTCAACATTTTCATTGCACGTGTACACATTTGCCACCTATAAGAGGATATAATTTTTGTGATGCTCACATACGTATTTCAAACTTTCAAAACATTTTTTGCTTACTTTGGGTTAGTGTTAGGTTTAGGGTTTAGGGTTCAGGATTATTTCCAGGGTTAGGGTTAAGGTTAGGGTCTGGGCAGATCACGGTATGCCTATGCAGTGTCGTGTCAGTGGGTTAGGCTTAAGGTTAAGATTAGGGTTTGTGTTAAGATTAGGGTTAGGATTGCGGTTAGGATTAGCGTTAGGATTAGAGTTAGGGTTATGGTTATGGTTAGGATTAGGGTTATGGTTATGGTTAGGTTAGGGTTAGAGTTTGTCTACTTCTAGGATTTACGTTATGATTAGTGATTGGTTCAGGGTTAAGTTAGGATTGGGTTAGGCTATTGCTAGGGTTTGCGTTTGGGTTAGGGATTGGGTTAGGATTAAGGTTATGGCCAGGGTTGTTGATTGTAATAGGCAAGGAGACAGTTAAATAGAATATTTTTTATCAGACGGGTACGGAGGCAGACTGTCAAATGGACTGGTTCTTAACTTTCAAGTGTGTGCTTTTTAGGTGCTCTGGCTTTGTTTCGCTCCTTCTATCCTGTCAAACATCTGTCATCCTTATCTACCCTCCTTCTTTTCTATTTTTATATTACTCTATATAATGTAATAATGTAGTGTAAAGCGCATAGAGCCTGCTGTTGAGCGGGGATATGCGCTATACAAATGCTATCTATTATGTAACGCATCTAATTTTTGACACTTAAGTGACCTAGTATTGTGGCACGAGTCGTAAAACTAGAGCCAGATAGCTTTTCTCAACTTAAGGAATTTTTCGAAATGGCATTAATCTTCACTTTAGTGATAAGTTTCAAGCAGAGATTTTTTTCACCATGTTTCGATTACCCCTTCGTCTTATAGTCAGGTTCTTTATCACGAGTAACAAAAGCCACGAGTACTATTTCTATACCGGCACCTGTGGTGTAATAGCTAGGTGCCTCGTCGTTGCATGCAGGAGACCCGAGATCTCACTCACTCACTCACTCACTCACTCACTGAAAGCAAAAGTTGTCTTATAAATTTGTGACATCATAAGAGAGAGATAGAGAGAGAGAGAGAGAGAGAGAGAGAGAGAGAGAGAGGGT